TATTCAAACCCACAAGTTCTCCAGGAAAGCGAAAATACTAGAACCTGGCTTTATCTAAATACCTCAGCCACGATTGCATCGTTTTTGACGAATTTTATCGCAACATCGTTCACTGGTTGGATATTATGGTATGCCCTTAATCTTCCTCTTAATACTCACTCCTGATCTTCAGGCTAGGAAACACGTCAAGTTCCTGCGCATAAACATGCTGCCAGATAGCCAACAACGCCAGCTATCTAGTTTGGGTTTCGTCCTATACATCTTAGTGGACTCAGGAGCCATCTATGCTTTCCTCCAGGTAGGATTTCAACAGATTTTACATTTGAACAAAGCAGCGTAACTTGGACTTGTAGCTTGCCTTCATTGTAATGGGCATAATAATCCCTTCTGATTTATTTGGTCCATTCATGGCTTATACTGTAGTTGGAGCGATTTATGCATCTGTCTCAGTGTGTATTATCCCTTCTCCCCCATGACTGACATGTTCATCATCTACAGTTCTTCTACCCTACACTTACGACGGTCTTGATTCGCGGGCCATTCTCAATCACAGGTGTACACCAGAGCGTGAGCTCGTTCCAAATGTCTTCTTCAGGTTCTTGATTGGGCACCATCGTCACATGGATACTCCAATGTGATGGGACTTTCTATGCATCACATCCTCCCCTGCTGATACTATAATGTCCTTTTTTATATATTGATCTGCACACTACGTCAAACTTGACTCATGTACACTATGGCTGATTTCTCTGTGAGTATTACTCGTGAGTTCACGAAAACCCTCGAACGTAAGATTGCGACTGTCCTGGTGAAAAAAGGTAGTCGCGAGATTTTTTGCTGTAATTGACAGGTAGATTCTGATAGCTTCAGTGCATGAGATTGAGTAGCATCACACCTGTTTATGGACAGATACATGCGCAGTTCAGACTCTGATCAAGATTGACAACCTGCCTTCTCTCGACATTTTCCCTTCGTTAACGTAATTGACAAGCTGGGATAGGTGGGGCTTTGAATTTGAATTTGATCTCGAGTTCCAGTTTTGTCTCTGGGGTAGTACTAGAGGGTGCATCGGCGGTGACGCTGACGGTGGTGACGTTGGTGTTGGCTCGGTGTCTAAATTCTGTTCTACCCTCCCACTCCACCACCACCCTGCTCGAGTTCAAAGCCCTTCTTCCTCCAAGACAAGCCCATGATCTTCTCAATTCGCTCCTGCTCCCTATCCCTATCACCATCACCGGAAAATTATCGAACCTTGGCCTATCCATACCCTCGTTCTCGGTTTTCCTCTCAGCTGTCCTCGATCGAGACTTCATCTTTCCCATTCTTCCTCGAGCTGGCGCCTACCACGTAATCTCATTGTCGCCCTCCCCATCCCTCGGCGAAATGTACACCTTAAAGTGTTGAGTTCTCCCGATTCCAGACGTCTTCCGGCTGCTATGTCTTGTATGAGGTGGAATCCGTAGCAGAAATCCTTGAACTCATGATGAAGGCTATCTCTGATAATGAAGTCAGTACAACAAAGGATTTAGATGCGTGCATTCTGCTGGAGCTGTAACCACTTTTATTGTCTTTAATTGGGAGTATTCTGCAGCGTTTGCCACTCATGACACATATCGTTTGTGCTCGATGCTGTGCAGATTAGGATCGCAGTGTGAACGAGAGCCTAGGCACATTTTACCGATCGGCAATGTCATAGCCTGCAACATTCTATTGTGATTCTGATCGACAAAAACAAGTGCAATTCTGCCACCAATCATTGACAATCTTATTCTTCATTCTTCATGCCCGGCGAGTGACATGTTCAAGGTCCCATCCTGCATTCTCCTCAATCTACAAATAACAATTATCTCTAGAAACACACACAGCACATACACAGACCAGTTCATCCCAAATCCAGAATGTTTTTTTCTTGTCTTCCCTCACTTAAGCGTCGACGCGAATGTCCTCTATCTCTTCTTTCTGAGTTGACCGGTAGAAGGATAGCAGCTAGCGAGTTCCGTCTCTCATCCGCTTAACATTCATGTACATCGACCCAGATCTTCGATCTTGTTTCGACCCCAGCACATACTCATCCTATACCTCGCTTCTGACTTCAGGAAAGACTATCGACAAGTGATTCGTATTTGATGTTTTTCGAGCTTAGATACTTCAAGAGTAATCCGTTACCTCTTACTTTGGTCAACGACTCATTTCGTTCGAAAAATGACGATTCCAGAGCTCTAGGGTGCTTGCCAGGTGGTAAATCTTCCACACGATATTCATGATGGTAAGTGTGTAGCCCGCTCACGATGTCTATTCCTTTACATTAGTCAACGAAGAAAAGGTTGAATGAGATAGTGACCTTGCGTCACCTCAGCGTCAAAGTCCACCGTTTGTGTTGCTTCTAGCTGATGGAAGTACGCAACTTCGTGACAATAGAACCCCATTCCCTCTGAGAACCAAGGTCAGCCAAGAGCCACTCAAAAAAAGCGTCGCGTGACTCTTCGTACTCAAGACCAACTATCGCGTGTCCTTGATGCCATTTTTAAATCATTTTATGCCCCTTGCAACACCATGCCTGTCATGACCCCTACAAAATAGAGGCAAAAGCTCCAACTGAGGTCTAGGTCGAGATCAAGGATGACACTACAGATGAAAGACTGATCAGCGATTGCGAGTGTCGAATGTTCGCATCGTCGAACGTTCGCATTGCCAAGATCGCCTGTTGAATTGCTTGAATTAGTAATTCGTGATGACAATTGTGCTTTCCCAGCCCATGATCCAGTTCGAGCTTTGCCAGCCTTTTTCGTAGGAGCTTCACAGTGTTAGTCTCGACTATTCGCCTCATCGACCTCATACCAGAATCAGAGTCTGTATATGTGTCATCCATTCATACTAAAGACTGTTAAAATATCTCGGAGCAAGATGTCATCCGAGCAACGAGAATGAAAGGTATTAGAGTCTGACCCCTAGATAGACACAGATGTAAGTAATATGATCCTCAGCGTCTGTCATACAGCAACTCTATTGCGTGCCCGACCTAGATAGACACGCCGTGAGAATAGATTCGACAGATAGACAATGAACCTGGAAATTACGAACGAGAATAAGTTTCCCCCCGCAAACGAAGATCTACAAGGCCTTCTTCTGTTGGCTTTGGGTGCTTCTGTCATTGGCCTTGATAGCTCGGCTTCGTCGTCTGGATCTTGTCTCGTCACTATACCGAATATCATCTCCAGAGGCCTTTGTTGTTGATCGGCCGTGTATTGACACGTATCGATTCCGGATCGTTGACTGCTCGCGAAGTCTGGTCTATGCCCCTAGTCTCCCCACTTCCGTCTTCATCGGCGCTTCCTCGTGGTCCGTAGCATATACAACGATTCTCAACTGGGCTCGTCGCATGAGGGTCCTTTACTCGTACACTCGCCACTCGCGTGATTGCAGCCGACTCGTCGAGAAAAACTGCGTTGTTGTCTCTCGATGGTTCTGGTTATCGCCGAGACCTGAATAGAAGAAAGATGGTAAAGAAGGGGAGATGCGAGATGTATGATGACGACGACCTACGAGATCTGGACTATACGCTCTTCGCTTTCATATCCGGACTTGCGCTTGAACTTGAATCGTTCGCCTCCGCCATAACACTATGCATATATGCGCTCACCGCCTCCGCCCATTCTTTCCGCTTCCACGCATCCTCGTGCAACGCACCCCGAACGACGACGAGCCTGGTGCAAAGTGACTCGTGCTGTCCTCTTTCCTTGGTTCTCCCTCTCGTTCTCCTGGTCTCGTTAACCTTCTCTCTACCTGTTCCGTTCTCGCTGAAAGGCTTCCCCATAGCCGCGTGAACGATCGCGGCACCCATCTCCTTTGGAACGACCTCGTCGTTCTCGCTCGTCAGAACAAGTATCCGCCTGCGGAGCCTTCCCAAGAGCGTAGTATCCTCTTCTACATCTCCCAGCTGTCGAACAGCCCCCAACGCATCCCACCGATCCCACACAAACGGCGTAAGATAGCGATATGGCAGCCACTTTTGCGGATAAAGCGCCTCGACCATAGCCGGTACAGACGCGAATGGGTTCTCCAGAATCACTCCCCTGATCCGTTCTGCATCCTTTCCCAGAATTTCCGAGAGACTCGGCTGCGCGAGGAGACAGAGTGCGACGGCACCGCCGAGTGAATGTCCGTAGAGTACGACATGGGCTCGGGGAAAACGGCGGAGCGCATGTGTGAGGGCCAAAGTGTAGTCGGATAGGATACCAGGTTGGGTGGGTCGGCCTGGGGAGGTCCAGTAGGACCGCGGGGCGGGTGCGAGGATTGATGGGTTCACGGGAGAGGCAGCGAGGAGGCTTTGGAAGACGGGAAGACGGTGTAGAGGGTTTCCAGCGTTTCCCTGGAGGTAGAGGACTACAAGTCTCGTGTCAACGTCGGGCTCTGGCGCGGGGATTGATGGAGAGGATGGACGAACGAGGAGAGCAGAAATGGGTTTGTTGGAGGACTGTACACGTAGTTCGGAGCATGTCATGCCATGCAGATAAGAGCGAGGAATGTCGGCGAGGCGGTCCGTGCGTGCACCAAGTGGAGCGTACCCTATACAACGGTCACAGTCAAGTTTGAATACAAGCACGAATACGCACCCATATAGATGATCTTCCGTTGGAAGAGAACCATCATTGCACACTGCATATACCCTTAGATGTCATTCTATGTAGCCTGCAGTAAGCACCAAGAGAGAGAAGGCACCTTGTATGCCCAAAGAGCAGCTGGAACGCCAGCAAGAATCGAGGCCACAACAAGTGGGGAAGGAGGCGTGGGCATTTTCACTAGGTTGGGATCAGCTGTGGGTGTTGTATGTGATCAGAGTAAAAGATCAGAAAGAAAGGATATAATGAGCAGCCTAGGGGAGAAAAGCTTGACCGGGCGAGTTGAACGTCAAAGGATGAAGAAGGTTGATTGGAAGTTCGTTGATCCGAGCTCAATCTCGGCCCTCGGCGTATATAATCTTAAAACAATAAAGACATGGGTCCGGTATGGTGTAACGGCTAACATTGCCGCCTTTCATAGCAGAGGGTTAAGTTGCGCGGCAGCTCGGGGTTCGATTCCCCGTACCGGAATTTCTAGAAAAATGTTTTTTGAAAAACATCCTAGCTTCGTTCCAACTTGCAATAAATTATGACACAGGTACTTTTGTGCCCTTATTTCAACAACTACACCCCATGTTGCTTCTAACCCTCATTCTCTTTGTGACTTTTTCTACCTGCAACTTCAAGAACATCATCTTTCCATCAGCTTGTGTCCCTCCCCTTCACTACAACATGCATCCTTTGTCTCAGAAACCAGGTGCCACCCATCAATCAATCCTCCAAGCCTTATCTCCCTTGTTCTTGGAGATTGGTGCCATAGGCATCTACTTGCATCAATTGTGATTCAGAGCCTGAGTGGCTATGAATTCAGATGCCTTCCAACTGCTACATCTTTTCTGAGATGGAACATGCAATCAGCAAGTCCTCAAACTCACAATGCAGGCTGCCTCTATCTCATCAAGCACCTGTTCATAAATTTCTTAAGAATACATACAGATTTCCAGAATGAAATGCCTTATAGATGTTGGCAAGATTGAAGCAGCAGAAATTCAAATGATGAAAGGCAATGGATTGTGGCATTTTCATACTGTCCTGGCACCTCAAACATCAAACATTATCAAACTCTTATTCTTTTTTCTTTCCTCAACTTGTCCTCCATTATAAGCACCAACAGCAGCGCCAAGAGCTCATTCTTAGGATATGCTGCTTCTGCCTTGTTAAGCTCCTATACCATCTCCTCATTGTCAGGTTTTGAATGATCTCCCAAATATCACCACATCCTCATTATGGGCATGATTGTAATGAGTATTGCTAGGAGATATGAAAGGTGATGTACTTGCGTTTTTCAGAAATATTTTTTTCATAAAATGATTGGCTGTAGTGTATCCTTCAACATTGGGCAAATTGAAAACTATAGATGTGTATCTTTTGCCTGCCTACAGAGTGTTTTTCTTAATTTTCTACAAGAATTAGAAGTACCACAAAACTGACACTTGAACATCTTGTCACTCTGCATAACTCATCTGATCTTGACATGATTTGAGAACTGCATATGCTCCACTCCTATATTGCAAAACTCAGTGCACTGAATACTGTGTCATCATATACATGGTAAATGTGGACAGTGTCAATTCAGGCAGTTCTTGTAAGAGCAACCTCTGGGGGCTGTGGCTCAGTCACACAGCTGACAGAGGGAAATCCAAAGTATATTGAGTGTTGTACAGATGACTACTAGTCTAACTACTCACCTGGCAGAGAAGAATCCAAAGAGAACAAGTCTGAGGATTCCCTATGCCAGAAGCAATGCTTCAGAGGCTTCTGATGTATGGGGAGAAACTGTAGAATACACAAAAGCCACAGCCAGCTACAAGGAAGGCCTAAAGAGGCAATCTCTAAAAATGATCAAACTCCAGAATCCAAGGATGGTGGCCAGTGTCAAGGAAGAATGGGGACATCTGTGTGCCAGTGTGAATGTGGTTGTTGTACTGAAACTCTGCATCTGGAAGCAGCTCATCCCAGTCATCTTGCCACTTATTGTAGAACAAGCACAGATACTGTTCTATCTCTTGATTAACATGCTCTGTGTGGCCATCAGATTGAGAGTAATAGGCAGTGGAGGTGTGGAGCTTCACATTGAGAAGGCCATAGAGCTCTTGAGTAAACTCTGTAATAAACTGCAGTCCTTGGTTGGAGACATAGATGTCAGACAGGTCATGCAGCTTCCAGACATTCTTCCAATAGAGATTGGCAGCCTCCATAACAGAGCATGTGGTGTGGGTGGGAATGAAATGAGCTTGCTGTCATATCCATAAGCATCTGGTAGCTCTAGTATGAAATTCACTGGCTTCAGTACTCTGCAAGAACAGAGAGAGGATGAAGCTGTCCTATAGAGAGTTGATGATGAAGTTTGGTTCAAAGACAGAGGTCATAGGTGCTGGTGTAAGAGCCAAGGGCATCAAAGGCAGCTTTCTGCAGTGCTCTCCATTGCCAAGCAGTATCCTTAACTGTAAGATCAAAAAGAGGACATGCATAGTATGAGAGGTCTTTAATGAATCTCCAGTAAAAGTTGGTGAAGCCCAAAAAGACCTGTACCTCCTTCTTGTTCTTGGGCTCTGGCCACTCCACTACACCAGCCACCTTTACAGGATCCATATCTGGCATTCCATGTGAGATGATTAGTCCAAGGTACTCAATCTTAGCCTGCTCAAACTCACACTTCTCAGGCTTGAGATAGAGCTGATGTTGGTGAAGGTGTTCTAAGACAATGTGTGATCCATCAATGCTCCTCTAGTGTTTTGGTATAAATGAGGATATCATCAAGGTAGACACAGACCATGCCTTCTGCAATCAGATCATGGAAGATGTCATTCATTATTGTCTGAAAGGTGGCTGGGCTATTTGTGAGCCTAAAGAACATTACCAGAGGTTCAAAGAGTCTGTGATTGGTTCAAAACACAGCCTTTCATGTGTCTCCTTCTTTGATGCACACATTGTTGTAGCCCCAGCAGATGTCCAACTTGGCAAAGTAGTGCACACCTCAAAGATTGTTGACTAGTTGAGAGATGAGTGGAAGGGAGTAGCAATTCTTAACTGTCATCACATTCAGAACATGGTAGTCCTGAACCAAACAAAGGGATCCATCCTTCTTCTTAATGAGAGCATCTTCATAGAGGGCCTCTTTATAAAAGAATGACAAGCATGTATGGCAGCATGCTTATGAACTAATGCTCTGTGCTCCTCTCAAACCTCATTGATGCAAGTAGAACAGCACTGAGGGCACCTACTCATGCACACCTCACTCTTTAATCAATTGATCTCTGGATTGTGCTCTCAAGCCAAGTGAAGCCCACCAATCATGTCTTGCTTTCCAAGGCTAGTAACAGCAAAGATGGCATGTTCTGAACGAGAGCAGTAGCACAGAATGAGATCCACCACAGAGTGGATATATCCTGCTTTATTAAGAGTGCCATCAATGTTGTATATGAGGATGGGGTGAGAGAGAGGTCAA